TGCATAGGCGACAATCACATATATTAACTATGCTCGATCAACCATTTAATTAGCAATCATTCTTAATTACGCAATGAATCCTTTCCTTATTCTAAGATCCTTTCACAAAAGATATGTATTTAATATTTAACATATTCAAAATAAGCTTAAAGGCCGTAGGATTCTTGTAGTAAAAGCAATGGTCCTTTCCATAAGTAATCAAACCGTGCATAGAAAGATTATAGTATCAATAATACTAGAGCATAGATTTGTCATGCGCGCATGCTAATAATATTCATAGACCTAAACATAGTTTTCATCTTTTGGACAGATGGGAGTTCTATCCTTTGTCCCACCTGCACGGTTAGTTGTACAAACATAAGTCCGTTTGGACCATAGGGTAGTTCCATTCTTTGTTCCTGTGAGGGGTTTAGTCATCAACAAAACTAAGTGTTCACCAACTTGGTCCAAAAAGGTTGAATGCCCAACCCCAAGCCCCCCACCCCCACCTCGACCTGACAGGATGGTGGGGAGGTTAATCACGGTGACTCAGTCGCCAAAGCGGCGGTAAGCCTTATACACGTGCGCACCAGAGGTCCAGCCTTATTTCAGGTTCTGTAATCTCCACACGGCCGCTGCGGGTTTCGAATCTTGGTCACTTGGTCTAATTTTCCCACCACTTGACCACCTGAGCTACCCGTGCGGGTAACGTTTATTATATCACACAAACATGCATGCAAACAACTTTTCTAAATTGATACTATTTCAGCGACGATTAGTGGTTGGAATTTCGTTGTTATTTTTTACTCCCTCTGTCTTATAAAATAGTTTCCACATTGATTTGGATCAGAGTTTAAGAAAGTTGGAATAAAGTGGAAATATATGGTTGACGTTGAGTAATAAAAAAGTAAATGAGTGTGAGCCACACAAAACTTTCCAAAATGGGAAATGAGACCTATTTTTTGGGACGACCCAAAAAGGAAAAGCGGAACTATTCAAACAATACACAACACTTACATATACGCCTAAGTGAATATGAAATTATACAATTTTATCTTTTTATTTAATTCCAATGATTCCATAAATTTGTGGCATTTTAAAGGCATATTAGTTTGCATATTATTATAAACGATGCAAACAATACATAATTATTTTCTGTAAACACAAATATTACAAATATACATACACTCACAGGCAAATATGAAATTATTATATTTCTGTTTTATTTAATCGCGCCAATTCCATAAAGAAATAACGGCATAAATATTACATGTGAACTTTAGATAGACAAAAATATCACTCTTTTAAAACTCGACAAAAAGTGACTACATTTAAAATTAAAAGTCTAATCGGGTTCCTTCCGTCGTCTTCCAAGCCCTGCAAATCAAATGCCTGGCCCGTAGATCTTGTCTATGCCTTTCTTCTTTCGCCCACCATCGTCGAACTCGTTGAACAGAGTCTTCTCCAACGTCGTCGCCCTACATTGCCTCTATTTCTTCTCTTTCTATCTGGCGTATCCATGGTGAAGACGATGGTTCGGCGGTTGGGGAGTGGCGGGGGGGGGGGGGGTGTGTGGTCAAGATCAGATCAGGATTTACATCCACACCGTTGGCTATGGTCAGATCTGGGACAAGGGGCTGGTGGGGGATGGTTTGGCAATGATAGGGCTGGATGAGTTCGGCCGAAGGCGTCACCCACTGGAGTGACAGTGTCTGCGACGGTATAGGGGTGGGTCAGTGAGGTGCGGTGGTGGGGAAGTCAAGTGTTGGCGGGGCTGGGCGGCGTTGGGGCAGATAGGCTGGGAATGGGGTTGGAGAGATGTGGGTGGATGGCGAGGAGACTGGGTTGGCTGTGGACGCGGCTGTGAAGCTGTGGGTGGAGCAGGGGAGGGGGCTGAGGGTGCAAGGAATGGGGCTGGAGGCAGAAAATGAGGTTGGGAGAGCAAGGGAGGGGGTTGGGGACAGAAAAGGGGGTAGGGGGAGCAGGGGAGGGGCTAGGGCAAGGGCTGGGGGAGCAAATAATAACCGTACTTAATTATATAAATAATAATTGTTAATTATACTAAAACAAATTGGAAGTTTTTTATCAGAATAGTCTTATAAGTTATTACCCACTCTATTTTAAATATTAAATAAATCCTAAATATAAAAAAAAAATAAACAATTTGGAACTCGAAAACCAAATTGGGTTGGAACCGAAACCGTCAGTTTTGGAACTGATACTGTGCGGTTCCGATTCCCGGAAATCTGGAACCGCGAACCGGCGGTTTGATTACGATTTCCAGTTCAAAGTGCTTATAGGTCTATATATTCCAATGGAACTGGCACCAAGCATCATGATTAACCACAATTTTAATTTAAAATCTCTCTAAGAACTCGAGTAATTCATGTCTAGGCGTTAGGCAGTAGCTAATTGCCCCGACATTAGGCTAGGTGTCCCGAATAATAAATTTGGCACCTAAGCGAATTAGTCGCCTGTCTAGGACGCCTACTTGCCCGACTAGAGTGTGTAATCGATCGGCTAGAGCGTCTCGATCGACTCATGGAACATTTTTTTGCTTTTATTTTTTATTTTCTAGGAGACATATGTTCATTTAACTTTGACCACAAATATGAACAATGATACTTATAAATTAAGATAAAGTCAATACATGTTTGTATACATTCTAAAATTATTATACAATGAACTAAAGTGATTAGTTATACTCCGTAATACACTACAATGGAGTACTATAAAGTGTTAACATTGTTCACATATGTTAATGTGTATATATGTAGGTATATATATACACATAGACACACATACACATACAATATTACTTATCATACTTAAATTAAAATATTGATAAAAAATATACTAGTATTTTTTATGTCTCCCACTAATCACAACTTAGGCGCTCGAGTAGCCGTCTAGGTGTTGGGTTGACGCTCAACTATTGACTAACGCCTTTCAGAAAATTGATCATAACCATAGTGAGAAGCTTAGTAAAAGTTTGAGATTTTATATCCAAATTTTATAAATCTAAGTCATTAAAGAAGAATAAAGCGGAGGAAGAAGATGAGGAATTGACGAAGAAGATGTTAAAGAGAAGTCGAAGAATAAAAGTCTCTTTCACAATATTGGAGACCTAAAAACGAAAAAATTGAAAGTTGAGTACCAAAAGTGTCACTGGCCGAATAGTCGAGGGACTGAAAATGAAAAAACATGTATGATATAGTATATATTCTAGAGAGAAGTGGGAGCTAGAGAGAGAAGTGCAATAAGTTCTGCAATTAATGAATTTATCAACCTCTACAACTACTCCTAAAGGGAGTATGTATAGAGAAAATGTGGGCTGGGCTCCCAAGTCTTGGACTTGGGAGACCCATTTACAATTGGGCCACTACTGGGCTAAGTACAAAATATGTAAAAATGACTAATTGTGAAGTCCGGTTCTGGAAGCTCTTTGTGGCCGACGGAGCCATGGCTGATGAAGCCATGGCCGATGAAGCCATGGCCGATGAAGCCATGGCCGACGGAGCCATGGCCGACGGGGCCACCCGATTCTCCTGGCTTCAGGACCATGTTCTGAGTTGATATCTTTCTAGCCGATGGAGGTCCATCTGGCCGATGGAGGCACCACTGGGTGACAGTCGTGCCTCTTATTCTTCTGAGTATGTGGGTCCTGGGGTCCAGACCCATATACTCCATCAACGTATTTGTATATTCTACATCTATTTAAAAGGTTTTTACATTTTATATTTTATATTTTTACATTTTCACATTATATTTTGAGTTTTCTATTTTTTATTTCGTTATTTTAACATTTCTAAATTATTTTTCTATTTTGACATTTATGCTATTTTTTATTATTATTATATTATTGTTCAAATTAATATGAATTTTCATAAGACTTATCAATAGTCCGAATTTATTTATAAAAAAATAACTTGCTATAACATGTCAAAATGATTTGATTGATTGTATTTCAAAAATAAACAAACTTATATGATGTTTTTTAATATGAGGACTTATGTGATAGATTGAAAATAGAGCGATCTTTCCCTTCGCTTAGGGTTTGAGTGTGTCGTCACCGTGCGGCTTTTTCTTTATCGCAGCATCCAAGCACCGACTTGGCCTGCTTCGACGTTTGTGGTAGCGTGAAGGATGGAGGGCAAGGCTATGAAGATGCACAGGGAAGAACGCGAGCACGAATGGGAACCGGTGGAGAGCCTAGCCGACAAGTATGTGGGACGAGGAGAGTTGCATGAGCTTCGAATATGCCAGATTTCGACCGACAATGGAGGATTTATTAGAGTGGTACCAATGATACAGCCTCCTTCTGAACCACCGCCATAGATTGTACAAGGTGCTAGAGTCTGTGAAAGTTTTTGTATTAGTTATTATTATTTTGTCATTTGTTTTTTAGTTATCGTATTTGTTGTTAGGTCTGTCAGTTTGTTTGGAAATTTAGCCTTTGTTTATGTCATTGGATATGTTTGGATCTATGGGAACAGGGATGGCTGTGTCAAGCCCGTTGCATGGTTAGTGATTCGTGTTGCTCATTCATGCGTGACCGTCTCTAAGTCTGGTCATAGGGTTTACAGTCGTAGTTGTTGGAGTTTAGTTGGTGTCAGATTTGTTTTTCCTTTGATTGATGTAATATTTCTGAAACTTTTGATATGAATAGAGGCAAGTTTTGGTTCAAAAAAATTGTGATAGATTGAAAATAATATAACAACTTTTAAATATTTTCCAAAATAAGAGAATTAATAAAGAATGATAAAATCCAAAGAAAATACTTTGTAGAAAAGAACAAGATACCATAGGAATGAAAATAAAAGCTACGGAACATAGTGGAACGCTAAAACAGGAAAAGTTGAGGATGTAGTTAAAAACTAAAATGATTAAGATGACTGCGTATTGATTAACATGACTTTGCATCATTAAAGTGCGTGTCATGTTTTTATTTGTCCAGCTCATGTATGTACTGAAACCTCTAATAATGCGTGGGTACCATTGAGCTTCCCAACTAGAAAAACATTCAATCTTCTTTAAATCATTTGGTTGTGCTATATTCACAAGAAAAAAGAGAATAATTTATGACAATGCTTAATTCGCTACCTGCTTCAATATGCATTTTTCATGGTCATGGCCTTCAAACTTCTAATAGATCAGCGGCAGCAGCTCATCATCAACCGTCATCGTTTCGTCTAATGTGTAGTCAAACAACAACAATGAGCAGAAGAAGATCTGGGGATTATGCGCCTCCTACTTGGGATTACACTTACCTTCAGTCCTTCAACACTAATAACTATACAGTACGTAATACTCCCTCCGTCCTGTTGGAATGTTCCCGGTTTGACTTACACACATATTAAGGAAATAAACTTATCAGGGGGTAAATTTTACTGTTTTGACACTGTTTTGACACTGTTTGACACCGTTTTGACATTGTTTTGCACTGTTTGACCTTGTTTTGATGTAGGATAACTTTCCATTTAGGGAAATGGGAACTTTCCAACGGGACATCCAAAAAAGGAAAGCGGGAACATTCCAACGGGACGGAGGAAGTATTTGTTACTCTTCTATGTCCCTCAATAACCGAATTTGTTATCTTCTAACTTTTTCCTGTCTGTTCCAAAATAATCTGTGTTTTCCTTTTTTGACAATCAATTTGTTGTTGACAAGCCTTTTTTACACATTCTTAACATTTTGATTTCTTTTCTATGCATAACTCTCCACCACACAAATCTTACTTTCTTGATTCCCGTGGAAAACCCCGTTTGAAAGATACTTCAGGACCGAGGGAATACTACATGAGAAAAAACATATAACACCTCATTCCCTTATTATGCATGTATACCTAGTTCCCATTACTTCAAATCAAATAATCCTATTATTACTTCAAATCAAATCAAACAATCCTACTACATGGTCTCTCTTAGAACAATACTCCCTTCGTCCCAATATAAACTTCTCTTTTTGATAAAAAATTGTGGTTTCTAGCAATTATCCCTACTTTTTCTTTCCTCTATACAACTTTAGACCACACATTTTTCACTTTCTTAATTCGTATATAAAGTCAAAATAGGAGATAATACTAGAAGGCATTGGGTAATATATGTTGTTGCAATAATAATGCAGACTGAGAGGTACGTGACAAGACGTGATGAGTTGAAGAAAAAGGTTCAAAATATGTTGAATAATCAAGAGATGGAAGAGTTGGAGAAAATGGAGTTGATTGATGATTTGCAAAGGCTGGGATTGGCTTACCATTTTGAGGATGAAATAACGGCAGCTTTGAAGAGAAGTAAAGGTTGCAGCCAAAAGGGGAAAGATAATCTCTCTTCCACAGCTCTCAAATTTAGACTGTTCAGGCAAAATGGCTTCTGTCCCTCTCAAGGTATGTACTTTAATTTAGATATTGTACTCTTGGATGTTTTCTGTACTTTAATTTCGTTTAGTTAAACTCACAAGATTTATGATCCGAGAAGATTTATGACTCCACAATGACTTTCAATCAAGTGTGATTAGAATTGCACTTTCAACATTAATTTATTCAAACAAATCTGATTAGATCTTATTGAAGACGCGAGACATATTGAAAATAGGGGTCCTTACAATTATAATCCTGACAATCATTTTACTATAAAATCATAGTTCTGTACATAAAGAAAGTACTTTGTACATAAAAAATTTACAAAAACTAATATCTTCAATGTTGGAGAGTCTCATGAGAGGCCAAATCTCATCTTCCACGTTTCCTTTTTTGTCATTTCCAAAATAATCTTCTATTTCCATTTTTGGCATTGAATTTATAGTTCACGACATTATTTACATATTCTTACATATTTCTCTCTTCTTTACACAAGTTTGCACCACACAAAACACATTATATTAATCTCCGTGTCAAATATACTTTGGATGATAATTTCGGAATGGGGGAGTAATAGTAATATACTCGTAGTATATCGAGGAATGATCCTGTCAGAACTACTTTACTAGAACCATTGTCCGGTCGCCTCCGTTTGAGTTGCTACCCAGTGCAAGTTTTTGAAGAAATTGGGTGAGCATATTTTTCATGAGGTGTAGATTATGTCCACCAAGTTTCACCTAAAAATTCAAACGGGAAGTCAGATAAATAAATTTTGTAAAATATTTTGCCAAAAATATATGAAAAATGGAGTATTTTTCAATATTTTATGTAACTCTACTCCTGATTGAATTTTGATGGAGTATATGACATAGCTAACACTACACCTAACACTTGTGATATTGTAGTAGTTAAGTCTTCTTTAATTCATATGTCTCCATGCATGTTTAATTAAAACTGCAACCTCCTCCATATTATTATATTAAATTATTAGTATTAGTATTTTTATTGTTGTTGTTGTTGTTGTTATTATTATTATTATTATTATTATTATTATTATGGAGTATTATTATTATGATTATGATTATGATTAAATTATGATTATGATTATGATTATGATTATGATTATGATTATGATTATGATTATGATTATGATTATGATTATGATTATGATTATGATTATGATTATGATTATGATTATGATTATGATTATGATTATGATTATTATTATTTCTATTACTATTATTACTATAATAATAGTAACAATAATAATACTAATAATAATAACAACAACAACAATAATTATTACGGGTATCCGCCCCTCGGGTACAAGCTCGAGGAATGTGGACAACAACTTCTCACAAAAAAATCATACAAGCTACTCAAACCAGGATACCCCGTTTCCAAGCGAACCCTCGGTAAAGAGCCTTCGGGTCTCGAGGGTGAAGCCCTCGGGTTCGTCACCAAGGACTTTCGGGCCAGCAACATGAAACACATTGCGCTTTATTGTTTTTAAAGTGCAGTATGTTTCGATAACCTATTTAACTGACTTCTCGGTTGAATTTTAATCTCACAGGGCATAAGCTACACTTCATGAAAACATGACAAAGAAATTTTATTAAAAAAAACTATGGAGAAAGCCTCAAATGACCTTGGCCGGACGGGAGTTCCCATCAGACGGCCCGCATCAGATATGTATTATATAAAGAAAATACATAGTACTATATATGTCCCTTATGTCTTTGCCAACTTTCCTTTTTGGATGTCTCATTAACTTTGTCACTTTCTCTTTTAAGTAAAAAATTATGATTCCAGGTAATTCTCTCTCCTCTGCAAAAAACTCAGTCACACAATTTTTACTGTATTAATCTCTGTGCCGGTTAAACTTGTCAAAGTTTCGGAGGACGGAGAGAGTAGTATCTTATGGTGTTAAAAATTACAATTTTCGGCTGGGGGCAACACCCTGCCTAAAACGGGCAAAAGCTGTTGCATTCCTGCCCTAGATGAACCCAGAAATCTTTGATCATGATTGAATTCTTGAATGTGAGTAGATGCATTTGATGGTTTCCTGGAGGGAAGTGGAGGCAATTTCAAGACAGACATTTGCGAAGATACCAAGGGATTACTAAACTTATACGAAGCATCCTTTCTATCCATGGAAGGTGAAACCATGTTGGATTTGGCCAGAGACTTCTCCACCAAACACCTCAAACGGGCGGCCGCCGGCTTCAGAACCGTCGAGCCAAACCTTTTGGTGGCCGTTCAACGGGCGTTGGAAATGCCTTTGCATTGGAGGGTACAGAGGCTGGAGGCCAATATTAACATTCACTTATACCAAGCAAAACCGAACCATAATCCTCTCCTCTTGGAATTAGCTAAACTGGACTTCAACCTTGTTCAAACTTTGCACCAACATGAATTGAAATTCGTGTCAAGGTAAGTATTGGTATGTTCATTCTAAAATGTATTGGTACTAATGGTAAAATCATTATAAAAGATATTCTGCACTACTGAATAACACATTTAGTATTGTTGGATTTATGCCTTGAATATGCCCAGTCACCAGTTTGGGCTAGGATTCCGATTTGGGCTTATTCTATTGTTTTGGGTCTATTCTAGATTTCTTGTATTAGGTCTTAGAGAGTACTTTATAAACTCTCTAAGCCTAAACCTAGCATCCTATGGAATCATACAACTCTGAATCTGTAATCTAAAACTCCTCACACATCAATAAAACTCTCTTCCTTCTGCATGTGGACGTAGCTAACACACCGTTAGTGAACCACGTAAATCTGTGTGTTGTTTCTTGATCATTCTTTATTTGTCTTTCTCGTTTCTGTTATAACAAATTGGTATCAGAGCCTTAGGGTTCCTGACTTACGAGGATGACGTCGACTATGAACGTGAAGATCAAACGCTTTACCGGGAGAAACAGTTTTAGTTTATGGCAAATCAAGATGCGGGCCCTGTTAAAACAACAAGGGTTGTGGGCTCCACTTTCAAAGAAGAAGATGGATCCAATCACCGCTGAGATGGACACGTTGGAGGAGAAGGCACACTCGACAATTATGTTGTGTCTTGCAGATGATATCATCACCGAAGTTGCGGAGGAAGAAACCGCGTCTGGTCTGTGGTTAAAACTTGAAAGACTGTATATGACAAAGTCTTTAACCAATAAGTTGCTTCTGAAGCAACGACTGTTCAGTCTAAGAATGCAGGAAGGTATGCCTCTTCGAGATCATCTAGATCAGTTAAACACAATATTATTAGAACTGTGTAATATTGATGTTAAAATAGATGATGAGGATGCTGCATTAATACTGTTAGTTAGTGTCTTTACCACTGTCGTATGAGAATTTCGTTCAGTCCTTTATTGTCGATAAAGATACCGTGTCTCTAGAAGAGGTTAGATCATCTCTTCATAGTAGATAATTGCGCCATAAGGCAGCTGGTACAGTTACAGATAATCAGGCTGCAGGGTTAGTAGTCAGTGTGGGTTATGGACAAGGAAATTCGGGGAAGAAGAAGTATAAGAAGCCGTCTTATTCTGGTTCTTTCAGTTCTAGTGCAGTCACATCTTGTTCTAAAGGTCCTAAACCTACTGATACTTGTAACTACTGTAAAGAAAAGGGGCATTGGAAATTTGATTGTCCCAAGAAAAAACAACAAAATAAATCCGATAGTGCTATTATAGCAAAAGCAAATTCTGGTGAAGATGATTATGCTCTAGTTATTGATAGGGTCACACATCAAACTGATGTGTGGATCCTAGATTCAGGAGCATCTTATCATATATGTCCGCACAGAGAGTGGTTTACAACTTATGAACAGATTGATGGCAACACTATTTCTATGGCAAACAGTGCGGTTTGTAATATTGTTGGAATCGGCTCAATCAAGATTCAGACACATGATGGTAAATTTTGCACTTTGAACAGGGTTTGACGAAGAATCTGATACCTTTAAGTACATTAGATAGTAAGGGATTCAGATTTCAAGGTGAAGGTGGAGTTTTACACGTCTGCAAGGGTTTAAATATGGTTTTAAGGGGTATCAAACACGGTACTCTATATTATCTTCAGGGATCTACTCTGTCAGCTTCTGTTGCTGTTGCATCCTCAGATGTTGATAAAGAAGATTTGACTAAGCTGTGGCATATGAGACTTGGTCACATGAGTGAAAGGGGAATGCAGACTTTGTCAAAAGAAGATCTTCTGTGTGGTCACAATGTCAAGGATCTGGACTTCTGTGAGCATTGTGTATTTGGGAAGCTACATCGCAGCAAGTTTCCTAAATCAGTGCACAAGACCAAGGGCACACTTGATTACATCCATTCTGATTGTTGGGGTCCTTCTAAGGAGGAGTCTTTGGGAGGTCGCAGGTATTTTGTGTCAATTATTGATGATTATTCGAGGATGACTTGGATATATTTGATGAAGCACAAAAGTGAAGCTTTCAATCACTTCAAACACTGGAAGACATTATTGGAGAATCAAACCAGAAAGAAGGTCAAGAGGTTGCGAACAGATAACGGTTTAGAGTTTTACTAGTCTGAGTTCAATGAGTTCTGTAAGAAAGGAGGGATTGCTAGGCATCATACAGTCCAAAATACACCTCAGCAAAACGGTGTAGCAGAACGAATGAACCAGACACTTCTAGAGAGAGCAAGGTGCATGCTTTCTAATGCTGGGTTAACAAAGAGATTCTGGGGAGAAGCAGTTAGTACATCTTGCTATCTGATAAATAGGGGACCTCACACAAGTTTGAATCTCAAAACTCCATTTGAGATGTGGTCTGGCAAGCCTGCATATTATTCTATTTTAAGAGTTTTTGGTAGTACTGCTTATTATCATGTGAATGAGGGTAAGTTAGAACCACGAGCTAAAAAGGAGTATTCGTGGGTTATGGGGATGGTGTCAAAGGATATCGTATCCGGTCTCCATCTGAGGGTAGGGTTATCTTGAATAGGAATGTTGTCTTTGATGAGAACTCTATGATTAACCCTACTGTGAAGTCTATTATTGTGTAAGATAGTAGTAGTATTGATAAACAGGTGGATCAAGAAGTCACCCTTGATGAGGGTGAACCACAACAAGAAGATCAACTACTACATTCTCAATCTGAACCATCAGGTTCTTCATTGCCAGTTCAGAATCAACCGAGTTTGGTCCGTGAGCGGTCAGTCAGACCCAATTTTGGGAAACCCCCGAACAGATTTGGTCGTGAAGATAATCTGGTGGGTTTTGCACTTCTAGTTGCCGAGGAGGTGGATCCATTTTCTACTGAACCATCCACTTACCAAGAAGCAGTTACTAGTATTGATTCTTCCAAATGGTTAGTTGCAATGGGAGATGAGATGGAGTCACTTCAAACGAATCAGACATGGGAATTAACCAAGAGGCCGAAGGATAGGAAGATTGTTACATGCAAATGGGTTTTCAAGAAAAAGGAAGGGGAAACCGAGGTTGAAGGGATCAAGTATAAAGCTCGAGTTGTAGCTAGGGGGTTCACGCAGAGAGAGGGAGTAGACTACAATGAGATTTTCTCACCAGTGGTTAGACACACTTCCATCAGGGTGTTACTAGCGATAGTTGCACATCGGGATCTGGAGCTTGAACAACTAGATGTTAAAACAGCTTTCTTACATGGAGAGTTAGAGGAAGAGATATACATGAATCAGCCAGAAGGATTTCAGGTCCCCGGAAAAGAAGACTATGTTTGCAGACTGAAAAAGTCCTTGTATGGGCTAAACAGTCTCCCAGGCAATGGTATAAGCGTTTTGATAGCTATATGATGCATATCGACTACAGTAGGTGTTTGTATGATTGTTGTGTTTATTACAGTAAGGTTGTGAATGGGTCTTTCATTTATCTAGTCCTATATGTCGATGATATGCTTATAGTTGCAGAGAGGAAGTCTGATGCTCAAAAGTTGAAGGGTCTTCTCAGTACTGAGTTTGAAATGAAAGATCTGGGTGCTGCGAAGAAAATTCTGGGAATGGAACTCTATAGGGATAGAAGCAAGAAGAAGCTTTTCTTATCACAGAAAGGCTATATTCAGAAAGTATTGTCCAAGTTTGGCATGTCGACAGCTAAATCCATAGATACTCCTAGTGCATCAAATGCACATCTGTGTGTTGCTTTTGCACCCAAGTCAGCTGAAGAAAAGGCATACATGTCTCGAGTTCCTTATGCTAATGCAGTAGGAAGCTTGATGTATGCTATGGTCTGTAGTAGACCTGATTTAGCACAATCTATCAGTGTGGTGAGTCGGTTTATGGGTGATCCAGGTAAAGAACATTGGCAAGCTGTGAAGAGAGTTTTCCGGTATCTTAAGGGTACATGTGATGTTGGTCTCATTTATGGAGGTGATACAGAATGTTTAGTGTCTGGGTATTGTGACTCAGATTATGCCGGAGATGTGGACAGTAGGAGATCAATGACCGGTTATGTATTCACTCTTGGTGGTTCAGTCATCAATTGGAAGGCTACTTTGCAGCCTACAGTAACGTTGTCTACTACAGAAATTGAGTATATAGCATTGACTGCAGCAGCTAAAGAGGGAATATGGTTGAAAGGATTGATTAATGATCTCGGTCTACATCAAGATCAAGCTATTGTGTACTGTGATAGTCTTAGTGCAATTTGTTTGGCTAAGGATCAAGTACATCATGAGAGAACTAAACATATTGACGTCAGATATCATTTCCTAAGGAATGAGAAGAGAATAAGGGTGAACAAAGTGGGTACTGCAGATAACCCAACTGATATGTTTACCAAGCCAGTTTCAGAGAGCAAGTTCCAACACTGTTTGGACTTGCTAAATATTCAGAGCATCTGATTGCCCCTAGTGGGATATATCTGAGGGGGAAGGGAGGAGAGCATCTGGTACACCTGACATCTATGGGAGTGCAGTTGGTACATCTGTCTGATTGTGAGAGGATTCAAGTCAAGGTGGAGATTTGTTGGATTTATGCCTTGAATCTGTCCAGTCACCAGTTTGGGCTAGGATTCTGCTTTGGGCCTATTCTATTGTTTTGGGCCTATTCTAGATTTATTGTATTAGGTCTTAGAGAGTACTTTATAAACTCTCTAAGCCTAAACCTAGCAGCCTATGGAATCATACAACTCTGAATCTGTAATCTAAAAGTCCTCACACATCAATAAAACTCTCCTCCTTCGACCTGTGGACGTAGCTAACACACCGTTAGTGAACCACATAAATCTGTGTGTTGTTTCTTGATCGTTCTTTATTTGTCTTTCTCGTTTCTGTTATAACAAGTATGAAAAAAGTTATTTGTATATGAAATCTGTACACATTTTATGTACACCCCCAAGTTGCATGTGTACATAGGCAACTCGTTCAGAAGCTGCTTGTGTGCATAGACAACTAGGCATGTGTACAAAAAATGTGTACAAATTTTGTGTACAAGTAACACGATTGTGTTTTAATTAGAGTGAAAGTTTTTGAACTTGTGTTGTTTCAATCTTATCTAGTCAAGTCTCGATTAGTTTGGTCCAATAGATGTCATATTTATGTGTTTTTTATAACTGTCGAAATCTGATATCACATGCATTATCATCGAAAGAATATATTTCCCAAGTTTTTTATTGGGGCATCTACGTTTTTGGATCATATTATGAGTGCAGGTGGTGGGAGAGTTCATATATTGGAGAAAGAATGAAGTTTGCGAGAGATAGAGTGGTAGAGAATTTCTTTTGGGCGGTAGGAATACATAGCAACCCCAGGAAATCCAACGCCAGAAGAATGCAGGCAAAGCTTATTTGTCTCCTTTACACAGTTGATGATATGTATGATATATATGGTACTCCGGATGAATTGCAAGCCTTCACTGATGCCATTGAAAGGTACGCACCGATAAGATCATATGGTTTTAGATCATGTTTTCTTCAATTCAAATCTTATTCATAAAATGTTCAGTAAACGGGAATGGTCAAATGGGGAAAATTGGGAAAATTGCATTTATGAATGGATTACGGGTAACAACTACGAGGTGGTCCGGTGAACAATTGGTTTATGAAAACGGGTAATAGCCGGTTAAAGTTTTATACCTACCTGTCATGTTACTCGTACCGTAAATGCCCTATATGTTTCGGATACGATTACGGCGCCTCATTACCTGACCGAATTATTAACTTATATAGAGTATATTTTACCCATGTCCCTTTTGACTTTGTCGACTTTTCTTTTTTAATTATCCTTCTAACTTTGTAATTTTTCTTTTTGAATAAAGAATTTTTTATTTTTATAAATTTTCTCTCTTATGCACAAATTTAAATCACACAATTTATACTTTATTTTGCTACGTGTCAGTCAACTTTGATATAGTTATAAGGAATGGAGGAACTAGTAGATAGATTGTGTATTTATTATTTAATACTTCGTACCGTATATTAAATATACGCGAGTAGTAGGAAATTAGTATATGACGCTCCTTCCCTCTAATACTAAATTATATTCAGCTAATCAACTATCCTTCGCAGTTCTCAAGAGTCGGCACTCCAAATTTCACTATTTAGATTTTCAACTTTCAATATCCTTCACCAACCTTCCTCTATTTTCTTCTTCATCAAATCTTCTTTATTTAAAACAAATACTTCGTATGATTTTGTTACTTCTAGAGTTGATTAGTATTGTGTTGTACGGATGTTTTTTTGAAAGGAAAACGACTATATTGATATCATTAGAATCAATATCGTTACAACAATATCAAAATGACCAAAACTGACAACAACATTCACCTTCCAACTACTACTTTTAGAGTTTTAGCCCTACAATTAGACATAGAGACGACCACCCCTAAAGGAGCAATACGAATCGCTAACCACCAAACGGGCTTAATGAAGCTATTGCTGAAAAAATAGATCTGTTCCCCACTAACAATATCAAATCTAGCCGAACCCTCGATCAATGTAAAAAACCTATTACCATAAGCAAATATCAAAAGCAAAACGATAGCACGAATTTTTTCGAAAACAGACTAAAAATGGGGACAATGAAATTAAGCAGGATGAACTTATTGAGCCGCTGAACTCAATCTTCCAGCGCGGTGTTCCGACCCCTAATCACCCATTTCCAGCATGGCGGTGGTTCAGGAGGGGACGGATCTTCATCCCTTCATCTTCTTCCTTCAACACCCTGATCTGCCCGTGATTCGCCTCCATCTCTTGGCCAACATACTGCACGATTACAACTAGTCCAAACATGAACAGTCTCCAGATTCCTATCATCTCCATAGTGCTGCAATTGAGATTCGCTAAGACCCTCCGGTCCCGAAAGCTCCCACGCCCCACCCTGTGCTCCAGATGAAGAAAACTAGCAAAACTCGGGACAATGAAGTGCCAAGAAAGCTATAGCGCCGCCCGCCGAAAACCTAGACTTGCTAGGACCACCGCCGCTGTGAACCTAAGACCTTCGCCGCTCCGAAGGGATGAAGGAAACCCTTCGCCTTATTTTGCCTTTGTTTGAAAAGATCTTAAGTTGTTATTATTTAAGTAACCTAACATAGTAATGGAATAGAGACTCTATTTAATTACATTACTGTTGAGGTTTATTCCTTCGATCCATGGGCCTAACACGTAACCCAAGGGTCTTGAGTGGACGGTTTAGTGAGTTAGATGAAGAACAAGCAAGGAAAGGCCCAAAAATGAGCTTCAATACACTGATTCGATTACAAAGCCGAAGAGACGTTCGTACAGTGTTGTGCTACATGTTGATACAATTGCTAGAATGCTAGAATGCTAAATTGTGAACCCCTTACAGTGAAATAAATGCTACTATTTATACTGCTAATGGGTGGTTGGATGTGTTGATGTGGCTGGTTGTGGACGGTATAGTCCCAACCACCAAATCTTCTGCATTAAATTCGTTTCCCGCCAGGATCTTGGATTCCCGCCACGGGGTGGGGACGTTCGTCGCCAAGGGCTTGCCTCCTGTCTCCTGCTGGAGTCCTGATCCCCTGCCAAGGGGCGGGGACGTTCGTCCCCATGCACTTGAGCAATCCTTGAGCTATTCTTGAGCTATTCTTAGCATCCTGTCAGGAGTGGGGACGTTCGTCCCCATATACCCTGCGGGAGTCTTGGGCCAGGACCCCTGCTGATAATGGGTTACGTATGTCCCCTGACCCTTGGTTCTGAAGCTTGTCTCTCTTCGGGATGACTCTCTTCCCGAACCAGCGGACAAGTAACCCCTCGTCTTGGGCTTTCAACAGGACGTTCGTAGGAGGTCCTCGTGGGCCTTTTGGGGACGTTCGTATGAGGCCCTTATGGATTGATGGGCCGTTCGTAGGAGGCCCTTATGGGTTGATGGGCCGGCCCTTGTTGGGCCATTAACCCAACATATACATTTTGTATTGCATTATGTGTTGTATGAGAGTTGTTTCTTGTATTTTTAGTTTCTACCTAATAGCCCACCTCTACCTCCACGGTTCCACTCCGGCTACCGGAAAACTGCACGAAAAAATGGATATAATTTTTCCCCTATTGATTCCACTATGGTACCATAACTTGTCACTACATAATAAAAAAACAGTGGACAAAAATGTGATTTAGTGACCATAATCATATTCAAATTTTACACATAATGGATAAAAATGTGATTAATAACTTATAATCAAATTTTTGTCTATAGATTTTTTTATTAAAACTATTTTAGAAAAACCACTTATTTAGGGTCACATTAGAAGAGAATTGAGAAAAGTCAAACACAAACTGTGATTCATTTAGAACCATGCAGATCAAAAACACATTCTGCATATTTCTTATTTATAACTTATAGAGCCTCTTTGGTGACCCTGTGTTTTCGGCTTATCAGGCTTAGCAACTAGTCTTTTCATCAAACACGTAATTTTTGATTTCACGCCCAGAATTGCATGATAATAAGAAAAAGTAAGGTTGGAGTTAATTTTCTATCTGTATTGGCTGAAGTTATGGTAGAGAATCATATATTTTAGCTATTTTTTCATATAATTTTTATTTATTTATTAATAACAAATATTTTAAATATAATATTTTTCATAAATCAGAAGAATCAGCCAATACATCGACTTCAGTTAATAGGTCCAGTTTTTTTTTGAAAGGGTTAATGGCTGAATAGGTTTATTCTGTAAAAATTAATAAAATTCTTGTTGAATTATTTGGATGATGGATTTCATTGATTTATGAAAAAAATTATGTTTCAAATATATTTTATTAAAAAAAGAAAAAAATTATATGAAAAGTAGTTAAAATTGTCTATTACAGTAACTTCAACCAATTCAGTAAGATAAAAAGTAGTTAAAAATTGAATGGAAGATGGTGTTGCAATACTCCATATGACTCTGAGTCATATGAGGCTCTATAAATTTTTTATTAAATAGATTGTTGACTAGCAATATCTATTCATGTATCTTTATAATTTATGCTACTAGACAAAGTAACCATGCGATGCACGGGATAATCTAGAATTGAATAATGTCTTAATCAAAATTATGTTTTACGATGGTACATAATACGTAATTTTGTCAAATAAAAAAAGACGATAAAGTTTATTTGTTGTTGCTTTTATTAATTATATACTCAATAGTAGTTGTAATAAAATGAAAAAATTGTATCGTAAAAAATTCAAGCAAAACTAAAATAAACGATAAGGTAGTGTATAACCAATAACTCTACGTGACAATGAAATAATTTGATAGTACAATTATTTTTTGGGCTCATGAAATGCTTTTTACTTTATTTTGTTGCATATATAGTATCAGTTTTGTTAATTGCTAACATCCTAGGTTTTGGCCGATAATTCGCTAGGAGATTCAGTGATTAGCGGTGTTTAGCAACGAATACTCTCTCCGTATTTTAAAGATTACTACATATGACTTTGGGACATTATTTAAGGAGGAATATAGTAGTGGTAATGAATAGCATAGAAAAATTAAGAAAGAACGTGTTAATGTATAAAAGAGAAGATAAAAATATTAAGGGTAATTCATTTATTAAAACTTTAGTACTTTATATTATTATTAGACGGATATATAAAAATAAATAGAACACGTGAGAAGGGATTACTTAAAATACTTTTAATAACACATGAAAGAAAAAGGTAATTACTAAACTTGGGATATAATCATATGTAATTTAACTTTAGCAGGAATTTTCTAGTCAATATTTGTAGTCATTGTGTTAATTAAATTTTGTTATATAAATATTATTAACATATAGAGAGATAATTTGTTACTGGATTAGAATTTTAAAATATTTCTTTTGGGTGACTTGTATTATATAGACCACTTTTGGGATAGGGAAATTACCCAAAATAGAAGTAAATGAGGTTTGAAATTTCAAAATAGGACTACTATGTTTTTCTTTCCGAAATAGGAGTTGTTATTGTCATGTATGAAAAATACTCTTATAATTTATAATTAATATTGTCATTTTAAATGCACTGTGCTGCAACTATTTGGCAATCACGCTACAAGATTACAATAAATACTGTCATATTAGTCTTATTTCGGGAATATAAACATAGTAGTCCTGTTTTGGAATTCCAAACTCCATTTACTCATATTTTAGGAAATCTCCCTTTGGGATACGAATATTGGAGACAAAAATTACAACAGAATTATTACTTTAATTATTACATAAATAAAAAGATAACAATTTAGAGAAAAGATTTATTACCAAAGTTTAACTTCACCCTTTTCCTTTCACATTATCACTATTTAATTGGACAGAAATTTTCTTGAAAGGGAAAACTCTTTTCATCCATATTTGGACCCTTACGTACATTGTTTTACGATGAGCATAATAAATTAACTTATAATTTTCATGTTCTCATTTAATGTGTAATGTGTAATTAGTTATGAAAGTTAGGATCTCACGACACTTTTTCTTTCGTATCATATTAATTTCTTTTCTTTCGTATCATATTAATTTCTCTTATTATTTGCTATAAGCTTAGCATTTGGCCGCGCAAGGGGCGATAGTCCATGCCCAATACTTCAGGTAATGATAATTAATGTGTTAAAATATTAATTAATTACTTAATGTAGTATAATTGTAGCGACAACTAATATAATGAAAAGAGCGACAACTAATATAATGAAAAGAGTTGCGTAGTTACTGTTAGTGACCAACTCAAGTTGCATTTTTTGTTAAATGAGATAACTCATTGTTTTGTAGACTCCATATTTAAGGTGCTTAAACGTGGCAGAGTTTAAAGTGCTAATAATATTTAAAAATTAAAAAAAAATAAGATTTAAAAAATGTTACAAATTGATTGTTATACTGCATAATGTTTCAATGAGGATGAGGGTGTGAGATCTAAAAACTACAAGTATTAATTATGTATGGTTTAATTTTATAGAGCATATATATAATATACTAGTATGTAATAAGAAGTATAAAATGTTTTGGGAGAACTATCAAATAAGCCCTCGAACTTTACTAAAAAGTGCAAATAAGCCCTTTACTAAAAAGCCATTTAGGGAGGTTTCCGGTGGAATTTTTTGATGAACTTTTTTGAGCATCTTCTTCATTAAGTCTAGTTTACTCATACCAAATTTCAGCTAAAAATTCAATCGAGAAGACAGTCAAATGATTTTCTGAAATATACTGTGCTGCCTGACTGCACTGTTATCTTCAAAAATTTATTTGACTGTCTTCCCTATTGACTTTTTAGCTGAAATTTGGTATGAGTAAACTAGACTTAATGAATAAGATTCTCAAAAAATTTCGTCAAAATATCCACCGGAAACCGCCCCAAATGGCGATGGCCGGACAGAGCCTCCTATAAAAGGGCTTATTTGCACTTTTTATGAAAGTTCGAGGGCTTATTTGGTAGTTCTCCCAAATGTTTTCTTTTGGATTGTTTTCAGTCACAAACCAGACCAGACCAGACTAAAACAGACCAGACCAGATCAGACTTAAGCAGATCACATCAGACTTGGATAGTTATAAAATACACAGAGACCGACATTTACCAGATCAGATCAGACCAGTCTTAAACAGATCACCCAGAGCAGACTAGTAAATTATGGTCCAAAAAAACATCCTAAATTAGTTTTGAAATGAATGCAAATAGACTACTTTAAACATAACATCTTAACAATGGATTTTTATGTTTATATGTGCTTTAACACTTCAATTTGTGATTGAAAATGAGAGGGTGCAGTGGCGTTAATTAGTTCAAACACTAGTCTAAATGAATTGGAGCCATCTCCATTCTCTCTATTGCCCTGCCATCTCGGCTGAATTATTACTTCAAGATACGGAGTATTATTATATTGTTAAGGGAGAAATAAGCCCTCGAACTTTCATAAAAAGTGCAAATAAGTCCTTTTATAGAAAACTCTATCTAGCTGCCGCCATTTAGAGCGGTTTCCGATGGAATTTTTTGATGAAATTTTTTGAGCATCTTCTTCATTAAGTCCAGTTTACTCATACCAAATTTCAGCTAAAAATTCAATCGGGAATATTTAATTGAGATAGTTAATAGAATAAAGGGAAAATGGTCAAATAGGCCCTCGAACTTACATAAAAAGGTCAAATAAGTCCTTATATAGGAGGCTTTGTCCGGTCATCGCCATTTGGGGCAGTTTCCGGTGGAATTTTTTGATGAAATTTTTTGAGCATCTTATTCATTAAGTCTAGTTTACTCATACCAAATTTCAGCTAACAATTCAATCGGAAAGGCATTCAAAGTATCTTTCTCTTTATTTGAATGTTTTATACAATTTTGGTAAGTTTTTCTCCACAATGTCAAGAAGACCATCTAGATATTGACAATGTGGTTAACATTGGAGAGAAAAACTTACCAAAATTGTACAAAATCATTCAAATAAGGAGAGAAGTAATTTATTTACTACTACATACGGAGTAATATTTATGTGATTATCTCTCATGTCACATGTGCACCATAAACATTGTAGCATTGAAGATGCTCTTATTAGTACATCATTTCTAAATTTTCTACCTAATACGGAGTATAATTAATTACCAATATTGATTTTCACATTAATTCCCTATTTTGCCCCTATTTTGGGAGGCAGTTTTCCCTCCGATTGTTGCACCAACTCTGTTACTTTATATTATATAAAGATCGGTGTGTATATTGATATACTCCTTAATCACTCTACTTCTTTCAACCAATTCAGATGGAGCGACATAACAGAAATTGCACATCTTCCCGAGTATATGAAGCCATTGTATTCTGCACTCCACAACCTTGTAAATGAAGTGGCAAATGATGCCTGCGAAAAACAAGGCATTCTTGCCTCCCGTTATATAAGAAAAGCGGCAAGTCAATAACTAGTAACGACTCATTGCATCATATGTTAATTTATTCTATTGAAATAAACTGCCCTAAATAGAAGTAAGAACATTTGTGAATTTTAAATTAAAACTCATATTTTTATTCTCTAAACGTGAGTAAATATTGTCATATTTTAGCATTATCAGAATTAAGCATGACAATATTTTTTAAATTTGACAATAATTACTTCTATTTGTGGAATAAAAATATGACAAACCTATTTTAGAATTTGAAAACGTTTTTACTTTCATTTCGAGGATTTCCCCCTCAAATAACTATTAATTATAATGACACTACTACAAGTTCAACTTTCAATGTATTCAGTGGTTGGATCTTTGCAAATCACACTTACAAGAGGCACAATGGTTCCACAGTGGGTACACGCCATCATACGAAGAATACATTCAAAATGCATGCATTTCAACAGCAGTTCCTCTGGTAATAGTTCATGTTTTCATTTGGGTCAACAACCCTTTGGATGAGCAAGCCTTACACTGCCTCTCAGAGCATTATCATGACATTGTTCATTTCACATCTTTGATTCTCCGCTTATCAAATGACAAAGCAACCTCTACTGTACGTGCATATTTAAATTCTTGAATAAATCTAGTGGAGTTTTACATGGTTATGTCATTATTAAAAGCTTTTGTTTCTTCTATAATTTCAGAATGAAATGAAAAGAGGCGATACACCAAAAGCTGTGGAATGTTACATGAATAGTGCTAAAGTCTCTATCCATGACGCTCAAGATAACATCAATTCTCAAATAAATGAGGCATGGAAGAAGATGAATAAGATTGGATTTGAAGATAACCCGGCCTTTTCCAAAATATTCATTGAAATCTCAAAAAATGTTGCTAAAGTGGCTCAGTACATGTATCAACATGGAGATGATGACCATGGGGCGAAGTCTATATTTTTCGAACCTATTCCTTAAGATTAAGCTAGTTTTCCAAATAGTTTATGACACAAATAATTTTGATTGAATATTGAAATTTCTAATCTGGGGGTTATAATTTTTAGTGTGATATATACCCGTGTGAAAGATTTCAATGTTATAAATGTCATCCATATTGTACAAGTGTTGGTTATGTGTTCCTTCCGTTAAATTGAATGACACATTAATTTTTGTTTGTAACTTCGAATGCGCCTAAGGTTTAACCTTAGATATTGTCATAAAGTTATACACTTTATAGACATTGTCAAAATCTTTCGCACGAATAATCTTTAACTGATTAATTGCTCATTTTTAATATTTGTCTTATTTCTTTTTTCTTTACTTTATCTTTATTATTACCAGTTTGTTCACCCCCTCCCACGCTCTCTACCTTCTTCAACTTTTACTTTTTTATCCTTCTTGCTTTCCGTTTCTAATTTCATTCTTCTCTCTTTATTCCACTTCCTCCCTTTTCTTCTACGATTTTTTCTCCAAATTAATGCTAATTAAATGAATAATTCTCAAAACATTGACGGGTTAGAAATAATTTCTAAAATATCGGTGGCCTTAATTGCGGTTACAGAAAGTTGCCAACCCAAAGGGTGGCTCTATAATTCATGAAGACCAACTATTGACATTAAAAGTTGTTTGTGTCCTAGAAAATTCAAAACATTTTAAATTAAGGTAATGAGATAACATTTGATCAATGAAAGTTCATTGGTGTGGGTCCATGGACCACCGCAATCAGTATCACTCGCCTCAGAAGGATACAGCGATGAAAGGTGAGCTTCCTTGAGAAATGTGTTGAAACATTTATCTGTTGGAAGATAGATGAGTGGTCTAGGGTGTAGTTGTGCATGCGCCGTTGGACAAGATGCAATGACTTCTACCTGATATTTGATTATATCAGTCATGTACCTTGGCAAATGTCCGGTATTATATCTGCTCAGTAGGGTGTATACACTTTAATACTCTCCTTCATAATGCACACAGATTGATTGCTCACAGCTCGTCTTCGTACCCGCCATGTGTGTATCAATCAGATCAGGTACCACACATGACAGACATACAGAAAGGTTAAGAAACCTTTGATACCCATTATTTCAGGTGGGTTCATCCCTTTTTGAATAAAACAAATTATAATGTTTTGTTTGATTTTGAATCTTTAGCCAACTATCTTTGAACTAATCAGTGACTTGATTTTGTTAACCCTTAACTTAGGCGACCCATTTTTGTTTACTTTTTCAAGTTAGAGAGTTATTAGCTTGAGTGAATGGGTTGTCATATTTGTGAGGTTCGAAGAGTTTTTCTTTCGAAATTTTTTTTAGATGTTTTAAAGAAAGAACTTTGAGAGAATATTTCAAATAAGGAAAATAATACACACTCTCAACAGTTCTTCGGAGATTATTTTTGCTTATCATGACACAGATTAACGTCACTCCAGAAGAGGAATCAATCTGAGAAGTGCAAACATTTGTGACATTAACACAACCAAAGGAAGGGAAATACTTAGTACTAGTATTAGAGCATCAAAGCTAAGGAAAAATGTCTGAAACATAATTACAAGATTGCTTATTTGAGCTTAAATTACAATTCTTTTTAAAATAAAACAAAGCACTCAAACATGATTTCTTCTTTTGAAAAATAGACTTTTGTTTGCTCACTTGGAGCTCTTCTCTCTTCCTTCTCCTTGATCCACACCTTCCTCTTCACGAATTTATTACTCACTTGTTTGCTTTTTGTTAAATGAGACTCAGAGTGAGTGGAAGAAGTTTTTGGAACCACTTTAGTTAACATGTCAGCACCATTCTTGTTTGTATGAATTTTCTTCAGTTTCATCAACTTTTCTTCAATCACATTCCGCAACCAATGATATTGTACATCAATATGTTTGGTTCTAGCGTGATACATGGAACTCTTGCTCAAATCTATAGCATTCTGACTATCAATGAATACTACATACTCACCTTGCTCCAAATCCAATTCTCGAAGGAACCTCTTCAACCAAATCATTTCCTTACTTACTTCCACAGTTGTTACATACTCAGCCTCAGTAGCTGATAAAGCCACACACTTCTGTAACTTAGATTGCAAAGAAATGGCTCCCCCTGAAAGTGTGAACACAAAATCTGAGGTAGACTTTCTACTATCAAGATCACCAGCCATGTCTGCATCTGTATACCCCTCAACAACAAGCTTGCCACCTCCATAACACAAACAAAGTTCGGAAGTGACATGCAAGTATCTGAAGATCCACTTAACTGCATCCCAGTGAATCCTACCCGGATTGGATAAGTATTTGCTTTCTCCTTCTCTGTTGTAGGATAAGCTCTCTTACTTAGATTAAAATGTGATGTGAGTGGTATACTAACCGGCTTAGCTTGCTTCATATTGGACCTTTGAAGCACACGCTCACTGTACTTTTCTTGAGAAAGTCACAACTTTCTAGCCTTTCGGTCACGAGCAAACTCCATGACTAAGATTTGCTTTGCAGGACCCAAATCTTTCATATCAAATGACTTGGATAAATCTTTTGTCAAGTTGCTAATCATCACTGAGTCTTGCCCAACTGTCAGCATACATCTACATACAAAAGAAGGATAATGAAATTGTCACCAATGAACTTTTTGAAATACACACAAGGATCTGCAGAAGTCTGTTTATAAATTATAACCATTGTTTGTCATAAACGAATCAAATTTACGATACCACTTCCTTGGTGACTGATTAAGCCTATAAAGACTCTTCTTCAACTTGCAAACAAGATTCTCTTTCCCCTTTTCATCAAAGCCTTCAGGTTGCTCCATGTAGACTTCTTCATGCAAGTCACCATGCAAAAAGGCAGTTTTTACATCAAGATGCTCCAACTCAAGATCAAGACTTGCAACTAATGCTAAAATGGTTCTAATAGAAGTCATCTTGTCAATAGGAAAGAAAAATTCATCAAAACCAATGCTCTATTTCTGGTTGCACCCTTTGACCACCAATCGAGCTTTCAGCTTCATTATCTCCTCACCATCTTTCTTGTTCTTGAAAACCCATCTATTTTCAAGACTTTCTCGCCTCGAGGAAGATTCAGTAACTCACAGGTATCATTCTTCTTTATAGAATCCGTCTCCTCTTTCATAGCCTCGAGCCAGCAGAGATCTTTTTCTTCACTAAACGGCACTTCTTGAAAACTCTCGGGCTCCCCCTCATCAATGACTAAGATGTAATCTGTGATTGGATACTTTGTAGAAGGTTTACGATCTCTCATTGACCTCCTAACCAAAACATCATCAACTGGTGGAGTAGGTTGCTCCCCCTCCTCATGAACCTCTTCATTATCTGGTTGAGCTTCATTAGGAGTATCAAGATCATCATGTGTTGGGTGTTCAACAGAAACAAAAGTAGGAACAAAAGAAACATCAGTAGTATCAACAAATGAACCAGAGTAAGTATGATACCTAATACTCAAACATTTTGTTCCCTTCTTGTGCTCAAAGAACACTACATCTCTACTTCTCACTGCCTTCTGCTTCCCGAGATGATAGAGCCTAAACATGTACTCTTCATCACCATAGCCAATAAACACACACGGAGTAGTCTTGGAACCAAGCTTCAACCTTTGATCTTTCGGCACATGCATATAAGCCTTGCATCCAAAAACTCTAAGATGTGAATTTGTGAGATCGCATCCCTTCCAAGCTCTCTCTAGAATGTCAAGACCTAAAGGAATATATGGAGAACCGTTGATCAAGTAAACAACAATATTCACCGCCTCTACCCAAAATGACTTAGGTAGATCAGACATCTTCAACATACACCTCACTTTCTCCACAATGGTTATGTTCATCCTCTCTACAACACCATTATGCTATGGAGTGTCAGGAACTGTCTTCACATGTCGAATGTCATGATGTGAAAAATAACTCTTGAACTCATGTGAAGTATACTCACCACCATTGTCAGATCGAAGGCACTTCAATTTTCTTTCCTTCTCCCTTTCCACAATAGCATGAAATTTCTTAAATGTCTCAAACACATGGCTTTTGGTCTTCAACATGTAAACCTAAGTTTTTCTAGTAACATCATCAATGAAAGTGACAAAGTATTTGCTACCACCATTAGACTCCACCTCAATGGGACCATAAACATCAGAGTGCACAAGCTGTTGTTTAGCTTGCCTCTTAGTAAACTTCCTGGAAAAAGAAACTCTATGTTACTTACCTGCCAACCAATGATCACAAGGGTCAACAGAAACTGTAGTATCAACATGAATAAGATATTTACATGCAAGACATGTCAAACCCTTGTCACTCATGTGTCCCAATCTGCGATGCCACAAATTAGGAGAATTCTTCTTTTTCACTCCATTAAGTTCACGAGAACATACACTCATATATGTCTTGTACAAAGAGCAACACAACTCACCTTGTGAAACTGTCATACAACCGGTAGACAATTTCCATTTTCCATCTCCAAAGTTGTGTCTGAAACCTTCTTGATCAAGAACATTAGCAAATAGAAAATTAAGGCGTAGATCAAGAATATGGCGCAAACCTTTCAGTGTAGGTATGCATCCAACATTAGTCTTCACACGAATGTCATCTAATCCAACAATGCTTGTTGAGCTCTGGTTAACCATCTTAACACTACCAAAATCACCAGCTTGGTAGTTCATGAAGTACTCTCTTCTGGAACACAATAATATGAAGCACGAGTATCTACAGGTCACTCTGAGTCTGAATTATCAACATGATGACACTCACTAGTTGCACAAATAAAAGTTAACATCATCATTACTCTTAGAAGCTATTGGTGTAGTGTTTTTGTCACGCCCCGGACCTACCCGGACACGTCAACAACCCGCCGTACAGTACGAATAGTCAACCGCAGTCCGACTCATTCATACTATACAAGGCGTCTTGAATACCATTCACACATAGCACATCCATAAACAAACATAATGTAAAACATTTGTTAAAGCAGCGGAAACAATTGATACAAGTGTTCAAGCCACACTTGGCATAATTTGGCATGCAAGCCCCCAAAGTAATTATTCAGAAAATATTATCCATGAGCATTATTCATATTGTTTTCAAAACGAGAACGGAAGAAGCACGAACCAAGTCTTCTTCTCAGAAACTTCCCGAACAGCGGCTGGTAGTAGCAACCTTCAAGTTCTACCTGAAACTGTGAGGTGGCCTCCCCCGTGAAGGGGAGGTCA